TCAAATAAAAATACTGAAATCTCACCTTTAATTAGCCCAGGCTAAAAACATCAAGCAGTGCAGGGAATAGTTATTAATTCAGTGTTGTGCTGATCAAGAAGAAAGAAGAAAGTCTTTCTTGTGGGTCTTTTGTGATGAAGTATTTGCTCCCAGGCACTTCTTGTCTACTCCATGTAATCTCATTTGAAATTCTCCACTGTTTCTGTCTCTTGGATTCCAGCTGTTCGTCGTAGTTCCTCTTCTTTTTTACCTAAATGTGCTTCTCTTTCGTCACATGTTCTCTTCCTGCTTTTGGTAAACTGTGAGTGGCTCCAAATGTAAACGGTGCCATGGTAGGGTTGTAGGGTTTGTTTGAAGGTTCTGGATTGGATTCACACTTGCATGACCCGATCCAGAAACCGGACTCTGGTTTAAGTTTTCCTAAGGATTGCCTAGAAAATAAAACTGCTCTCAGAGTCACTCCTTAAATCTTGGTCGTTACTTTGGTTCATTTTGGTGCTGGAAGATGAGTCGTTACATTATAGATCCAGAAGATTCTGGAGCAGGTTTTGGTCAAGAAACCAGGACACCTTGGAGCGGGGGGGTGGGGGGGGATCTCTGTTCCCAAACATAGAGATGTCTATGGCTTGCACTCATTTAACATAGGCTTACGTAATCCTACAATAACATGATATTTACAGTTGGTTTATTAAAAATGCTTTTCAGTAAAAGTCAACAGCAATAACTCCAATAGCAAATTATAATTTTATTCTAAATGTATTTATTTAAAAATACTAAACAATTCCTGTAAGGAATGAATAGCACAATGAAAGAAATAATGTCTAAACTAAAAATCCCTCACTTAACAATAAAAGTTAACAGTAACTCTCAACTCCCAATAACTCAGACTCAGCAATGAACAAAATAATGTCTGTTATGTAGGCTTTTGGAAAAAATAAATTAACAAATGAGCTAATTAACAAAAAATACCTCTTGTGTAGGAAAAATAACTCAAAATGTACCAAAAACAAACAAACATATCAATAGACTATCTTTACTTTCTGAGTCCAGGTGGCTTTTCAGATCCCTTGAACCTCCATTGGACAACGAGACATATGTGCCTGCTTTGCACACTGTGCACAAGGCCTCCCGTTTGTCTCGACCCGCTCTGAAACCGGGTAGACTCTTTTGTAAATCGTCGGTAAACATACATTTACGCTTTGGCATGTTTTTGCCAAATGACTGCCACGCTATCTATCTTCTGATTAAGAACAGGGCTGCCCGCACTGGCGCGGCTCAGGGGTGATGTCACACGCAGCGTCATGCACAGTGCCCTAGTGCCTGTAAATTTAATGGTCCAATTACAGTAATTAAAAAAATCAGGAAATTTCCTCACTTTCTAAAAGAAAAAAGACCGGGACAAGTAGTGGGAAATACGGACATTTGGTCACCCTACATTCACCACCCTGCTTATCATTAGAGATGATGTTTACCATGTGCAAAGAAGCAGGGTTGAGTTTCTTCCAGAAGAAACAAGAACAAAGTCCTGCTAATAGATCATATTTTGGAGAACTGGGATAGTTCCATTGAAAAGTCAACTCACTATATCCACCAGGGAATTACATATTTAATATAGAAGATATAATTCCTTCTCCAACTGGACAGATTCTTTTAATGCTCTCGATTTTTCCCCTTTTTTGTTGAAGCTGTTACATTATGTAGTTTTCAGTATTTATAGAAAACAATCCAGTTTTATAGAAAGTAAAGAGTAGAAATTACAAAGATTTGTGTTCAAATGTAGCAACTGCTGCTTCTTGGCAGTCAGAAACCTTCAGAGGTTTAGGAACTCCAAAGCAAACAACAACATGAAAATAAACAATCATCTCCGGGGCTCCACAGCACCAGGAAGGTGATGAACCACGTCGTCTTTACCTTTCCCTGGTGGAGTTATGATGCTGGTTTCTACAGGTTGGATCGAGGTCCAGATGCTGTTCGTATAAAATCCCTGATTTGTTCCTGTGACTTTCTGAGACTTCTTGTTTTGCTGCATTTTTACAGTGTTTGTGTAGAGACAGAAATCAATACTGTTAAATATTGATGATTCTAGTTGGTGTGACCTGAAGGGCGCCTAAGAGGAAATGTCTTCCTCTCTGTTTTTAACTGGATCTGAGCTCCACACACAACAGTCGCATTCCCACAAGTTCTGAACGCTCCACCATGAACCTGGCTAACAAGCTGGCAGCTAAAAGTGTGTGGGTTTGTCTAGTCTGAGGCCGCCTCACATCTTCTTCAGCTGACCTCCCTTTATTTCCCTCCGCCCCCTCTCTTCACGCCGGAGCCACCCACGGGCCTCGGCAGAGACCTCATGAGGATCATTTGACTGGAATCATATCGAAGCTTCAGGCTTTTTAAAGTGGGAAGAAACAAGTTGTTTGTTTCTAAAAACCTCTGTGGGAAAGTTTGTTGGGCTGCAGAACGCTTCTCTCCTCGGTCATTACAGCTGTTATTTTAACATGAAGGTACTGCAGTGTGAAAGTCCCATTTGCTTACATGCTTGTCTTCCTAATTCTTGCTGCTTCCCTATAATGTAATATGGACACTCTTAATCCTGCAGTGTATCATGGCTCATGTGTGACGGTGCAAAGCTGCAGCAGTATGTCAGTTGGGGCTGGGTAATATCGCTTAAAAAAAAGATCCGACCTAAATTAATTAAACCTATTAATTAATTTCCTTCTCCCTTATGTTTGATGATAAGAAAAATAAGACAAAATAATTTGCATGACTTTCAAAACCTGGCTTTTATTTAGCCATCTTCTCCAGGTAGTGACTTTAAACAGAAGTGTGACGAAGATCATTTTAAAATAACAAACTAAACTGTTCCAGCTATGGGTATTACACAGTCAGCTAATGTATCAGTTATGGATAAAAAGTGATGAAGGGATGTCATTCTGGTCCATGGAAGCCCACTGAGTTTGTTAGTGTAAGAAATCATTCAGATTTAAATCATTTCAGATTTTTTCATAAACAAAAATTTTATTAATCAGTTGTTTTGATTTCTAGAATTTTGAATGAATGAACAGTGACTCTGTGCATAACTTTGTCAGTGTGTTAGTGAATGTGCTGCTGCCATCAACACTTTTGGTCATAGATGTATGAGATCGACCTGTTTTTTCAGTGTAGTCCTGTTTCTCTGACTGTAACTAGCTGGATTTGCTCTCTTTATTCAGCTGGCTCAGAGCTAGTCTGCCTGGCTGTGCGTTTCCTGGACGCCCCCCCCCCGTATCTTTTGTATCTTCTGTCTCCTTGAGCCCCAGTCGGCTCACAATGAGTCTGGTTCTGCTGGAGGCTTCTTGCTCTTTTTCCTCTCTACTGTCGCTACAAGCGTGCTTGGTGTGAGGGATTGCCTTTGAGTCAATGAGTCGATGCAATCAACTGGTTTTCCTTAGATAGAAAACTTTGAATCAATTTTACTGGATGATGTGGTGAACTGGAAAGCGCCTTCAGATGACGTGTTGTGAATTGATGCTATAGAAATAAACTGAATGGAATCACTGAATAACTGGTTTGATGACTCAGGGTTTCAGTGGTTGAGTCTAGAGCTCAGTGAGTCATTGCTGGTTTGGTTTTGAGTGAATCAGTATTAGCATGCACTGGAAATGCAGGTTACCGATAAACTAAGTATTAGTTCATCGAGCCTATTGACTAACTAGTAATTCATTGATAATCTGTCATTTTCTTAAAAATCCCACTTTTCTCTTACTTTCAAGAACTTGAAGAGCTAAATTTTTTCACGTTTTACAAAGTGCTGAAACTAAAAAAAGATAACATCGGTATTGTGCCAGATGTTTTAAATACTGAATGAATAAAGAACAACATGGTTCCTTACACATTGTTAAACTTATATGCTGTAACTAAAAAGGAACCCGTTATTTTACTGAATTAAAGAAAATGTTGTTAAACAGGTGTAAAACTATAATCGAAAGATGGGGAATGTTGCTAAGACACGCTGTCAGATCATTTTCCACGTTTCCACAGTAAAGTTAATCAGTGTTCAACTGAAATGGTGCCTCTGTACATCTTTTCTTTTTAGGTTTTTGCGGCACTACTCTGCAAAAAATTGAAATCTAATTAGGCTTTTTTTTAATAAGTGCATTTTTTCTTGAATTGAGGAGGTAAGTCAGACACTTTGCCAATGGAACAAGACAATTTACATTTAAAATAAGAAAAACACAATTTAATTGTCTTATATCAAGTGTATATTATCTGATTACCTTATTTTAAGTGTAAAAATTCTCATTCCATTGGCAAATCATATCATTTACCTGCTTGAATTAAGGGTAAATACACTTAATTTTAGGAATTGTTACTTATTTCTACATTGTTCTTGCTCGTTCTTGCAAAGTAGGCTGACAGGAAAGGGGGGTACAAGACCCGGATTCGAACCCGGGATTAATGCCTCTCTACACGGGTCATGCGCACAAACCACTGCATCACCAAAGCACACCCCGTCTGTACATCATTTTTACAGGAAGTTGGTGCACAAGTGTTGGTGTGTCCGTAACTGTGTGAACGTATCCATGCATATTTGTGACTCTGTTAGCATTGCATCAAGCCGTTTTTTTTTTAGTGAGTAAATGTTTATACTTCTGAGCTCATTGGTGTTTCTGTACATTAGCTGGTCTAAATCAGCACTCAGCTTAATTTCAATGACTTAGTTTATTTCAAACCCTTTGCTGTTTGTCTGAGTTTTAATCAGAACCACGATCACCAGAGGTTTCTCTGTTTTTGCCCGACTGTCGTATAAAAGTCACTCTGTGTCCCCCATTCCAAAGTTATGCACCCGTTCGCCTGTTTCAATTAGCATTTTCTCGAAACAAAAACAAGGCTTTGTTGGGCTACTGTATTTACTGACATTTTCAATTGAAAAATCTCCCTGGATGGGAAGCGAAACGTCTTCAAACTTGGAAACAAAGTCCAGCTGATTGTCTTTTAACTCACTCTGTTTTTTGTTTTTTTTACAGGGGACCAATAAAAAGGACACAATGCGAGTACATGTACACACCAAATTCTGCTTCCTGTGCGTTATCACCTTCATCTTTCATCACTGCAACCATTGCCACGTGGAAGGGCATGACCACGCCAGCGACGTACATCAGCACAGCGACCTACAGATTTCTGAGGCTCCGTATGTTCGTTCCACCACCGTATCCCCGGACTCAAACAGTCCTGAAGGGCCACCTCTAGAGGAAGAACAGCGTTACTACATCCAACAGCTGTTTAGGCGCTATGGGCAGAAGGATCGCTTGGATTTCCAGGGTTTTGAGAGTCTCCTCCATAGCCTGGGTTTAGGATCAGTTAAATTGGTTGCCGTGGATCATGAGGATATCGGTCATGACCACGTGGCACACCTCGACCTGCTGGATGTGCAAAATGGGCTTCACTCACATACATCCTCCAGTAAAGTCCACAGTCACGATCATTCGGGCCATAAGCACCATCACCCACACGTAGAACAGGTTCCCACGCGCTGCAGCCCCACTACTGCTACTGGGGGGCCAACAAATCATGACCATAAACACGGTGATGATGATCATGATACCCATGACCACAACCATAATCACACACATGATGAAGACCATCAACACCAGCACACAGAGGTCCAGCCTGACCACAAAGACCCGTCCACTAGTCCCCATCAGAACCCCACAAACCACAGCAGTGACCATTACAGTCATAAAGAGCATAGAGATGAGCCAGCACTGCCAAGTGTAACGCCGACGGAAAATCCTGCAAGGACCAGGAAGCCGGGAAAGGTCAGAGGTCAGGGCAGGTCAAACAAGTTCCCTTCAACTGAAGCGCCTCCAACTGATGATCATGACCACAGTGGCGCTCACAAAGACAAGAGAGAGGCTCCAGGGTTGGCTGCCTCATCGGGGCTCATAGCACATGCAGGACACTCGCACCAGCATGAGGAGGTAGGACTTCACCATGAATCATAATCACATTATCAGTTTTTGGATGCCTCTGTGTTTGTTCTCTTCACCCCAAAAAGTTCTAAGTGTTTAGCTGTGTAATCCAATGAGTTGTTGTTTTAAAGTCTGCGTTTTTTCCCGGTATTTACGTTCTTTTTGAACATGTTTCCTGCCCACACAGTGCTTGAACCTGACTCAGCTCCTCACCTACTATGGCCTGCAGCCTGACTCCGTCATCTCCAAGAGTGAGTTCACCTACCTGTGTCCCGCCCTCCTCTACCAGATAGACAGTCGCGTCTGTATCCGCCATTACCATCAGGTGGACGTTGAGCAGGAGGCCCTGGAGACTGTCAGTTCTGGTGAGAAGCCAAACATTTATCCAGTCTGTAATGTCAAAGAGAGCTACGTATGTTTTTTTATTTATTTATCCTTTATTTAACCAGGTAATACCCATTGAGATTAAAAATCTGTTTTGCAAGCGAGACCTGCCCAAGATAGGCATCAAAATTACATCACATCATCACATACGTACAAAGACACACACATAAAAGCCAAATATGCACTTACAATAAAATTTCAATGAAAACATTGACATGTGAGGGAGTCCAACTCAAAACATCTAATTCTCAGCTTCAAAGGAACCAATTTACTAAGTTTCAAGTTATTTTGCAGCAAATTCCATGTAAAGGGAGCAGAGTAAGG